CCCACCCTCTTTTCTTATTTTTTGATTTATTTTATTTATTTTTATTTATTCTGAAAATTCTTGGCGGCAACCCTAAATCTGATTAGGTGTTAGCCTTTCTTGCTTTCGGCACACGTTTTGACCCCATGGGGGTAACGAAGTGCTGCCGAAATTTTTTGATTTTCTCTTACTTAGTCTTTTCGGCACACTTCGACCCAATGGGGGTAACGAAATGCTACCTAAATTTCTGAAAAAATCAGATAACCCATTTCTCCCCACCTCCTCACACACTTATTTACTTAGTTATTTATTTATTATTTCCTTATTTATTTTCTGAAATTTCTCTTTTTATTTATTTGCGGCATCTCTAGTGTGCTCACCTTGGTCTCTCCTTTTCCCTTGGCACATTCTTGACCCCGTGGGGGATAGGGAAATGCTGCCGAAAATTTCAAAAAAATAAATATTGTTTCCCTTCACATCTCTTTACTTATTTCTTTAATTATTTTTATTATTTATTTATTTATTTATTTATTTTTATTTTCTCTCGAAATCTCGCTGTTTATTTATTTTTCTCCCGTCTCCCCCCCCCATGCTTGCTGTTTTACTTTCTTGATTAGGTCACCGGTACCCTACCCTAGCCACTTAAACCTCGGTTAGGGTTTTCTGAGGGTTTAGGGTTCCTCAAAACCCCCTTACTTCCCCGTCCTCTTCGGGCACCCTGGACCCGAACCACCCCTCCCCTTTTGACGGCGCCCGTGCTAGCCTTGCTAGCGCCGTTCGCCACTTTCTACCGCGGACTTCCCCCTACGCCCTCCGCTCACGCGGACCTCTTCTGGCCCCATCCAGTCCGGTCCGTCATCTCCCCATGGCCGACGGTGCGTCACACGCCGCCAACACAGCGATGGCCACGGCATCGGGCTCCACATCCGTGCCCGCGGACCAGGGCCATCAGCCCCAGGGGGATCTACACACCCTCCTCACCTCCTCCTTGCGCCCATCCAAGCGCAACTCGCGACCCTCGCGCCCTTACAGGCGCAGGTGGCGACCCTTGTCGCCGGCATGCAGCAACTCGAGGACGCTGCGTGTCCGTCATCTCCTGGCTCCCAGTCCGGGTCCCCCGTCCTCCGACAGGGTGGCCACGACGGAGCTTCCTCCTCCGTTGCCCCTAACCCGGCCATCTTGGTGACTGTCCACGCCCCTAGCACGACGGCCGCCACGAGCCAGGCCCCCCCTCAGTCTACGGGCGCACCCGCCTAGATCCCGGTCACTACAGCCACGGTACAACAACCCGCTACCATGGTCTCAGCTTTTCCGGGTGCCCCACTTCTCCCTCCCCTTCGCACGACTGCAGCGCCACCTGGCTCTCCCCCCTCTGGGATGCCCCACGCCGCTTGTGCATCCACCCCCTCCACTCTTCCCCCTGCCACCCCTCGATCGACCTACGTTCGAGGTCTCGCGGACGAGATTGCCCAGCTCCGGGCCGACCTCGCCCTCTTACGCCTTCAGCCACCCCCACCCTCATAGGTGGCCGCGCCTTCGGGCACACCCCCTGCCTCCTCTACCCTTCCTCCCATGCAGGCTCGTTTTCTGCGCCGTGCACCCTATACAACTCCTTCCTACCTTCTTCCTACTCCCGCGGTTGCTGCGACCTCTTCTACCGCAGCACCCTCACAGCCTGCTGCTGTTGCCACCGCCGCTCCCCCATGGGGCCCGGGCGCATAGTCAGCTGCGCCCCTTTCTCCAAGACCTGCGTCGACTTACTCAGCCGTGGCACAGACCTCCGCTCCTCGATCCCCTCGCCGCCAAAACGGTGGCGCACCACTCATCCGCTTGTCGGACATTGCCTTCAAGTTGTATGACGATACAGGCATACGTCTGTCTCGGTGGCTGCAGTCTGCCACCCGCACACTCCAGCTCATGGGCGCCACACCCGAGACGTGGGTGGGTCACCTCTCCACACACCTGCGTGGCGGTCCTTTCGAGGCCTGGGAGGATTTCTATGCCTACTCCCTTTGTGAGGGTCGGACTCCGACCTTCGTGGATTTTCAGGCGTTCCTCGAGGATCGCTTCGGAGCCCGATACGACGTGACTGACTCCTTCGAGCGTGTCGTCACTACACGCTGGTCTGGCTCTGGTGGCGCTGCTGGCCTGGACCGCCACATCCAGGTCTTTCAGGACGCCCGCCTCATTTGCGACGTGGCGTTCCTCCCCGAGGCTGCCATTATCGATCGTTTCTTGGTGAGCCTTCCGCTCGAGTTCCGCTCCAGCTATGGCGGTACGAGTTCACATCGGCCCCACAGGCTTACGAGGCCGCCAGGGACCACCAGCGGATGCGAGCCCGTCTTCACCCCGCCTCCTCCTCCCAGCCCCAGCGCACGGGCTACGCCTCCTCCTCCTCTCACGACACTTCCCAGCGCCGTTCCCCTTTCTGTGGTCGCCCCTGCCATTCCACGCAGCAGGGCCGCCACTTCTCGCGCCGCTTCAGCGCGCTGGAGTATGGTGAGCAGGACGCTGTTGCCCCACTGTCACCTGAGGGCGAYCACRGCGACGACCTCGATCTCTGCGAGGCCGTCCACTATCACTTGGAGGACTCTACCCTCCCTGCAGCTGAGCGCCTTCAGCTCGCGCTCTCCGCCCTCTCTCGGGCATGCAGCCGCCCCGGTCACGCTGGCGCGTCGCCCCTCGAGGTCCCTCAGGAGTACCTCCCTCAGGGCTTCGTCCCTCCTCGTGGTGTCCTTTCCGCTGAGGAGCGTGAGGCGATTCTGGGCCGGCGTGGGTGTTTGCGCTGCCGCTTGGACGGTCATACCTCCTCGCGGTGCCCTTACACTACCGCCCTCGACCGCCACTACGCTGACCTTTCTCGTCAGCGTCGTGCTCAGTCCTCCCCCAGCGCCTCACGTCCCCGCGGCGCCTCCTAGCCACGGTGCAGTGTACACCTCCGCCCTCCTCAGTAGTCGGCTTCCCGACATTTCCGTAGAGGTTCGTCCCTCTCGCTACTAGAGCTGAGGTATCGCAGGACTCAACAGAGTGTACTCAGCCCTTTGTCGCAGTACCGTCTGCGCCTCCGCATACCACCGTCTCCCCTCCTTCCCCGCTGCGACTACCGACGCGTCGAGCCGTTCGCTCAGGCCGTTGTAGCGAGCAGCTCGCTACTCGCGAGGACGTTGTGTCCTCTCTTCAAGACTTGAGCATGCTCCTGGCTCGTCAGGAGCGACTCACTCTCCATGTCGCATCCCTGTGTCGCCTTCTCACCATCCTCTCTGACCCTGATCGCACCCTCCCGATCATCCCAGTACGATTGGGGACCTCCACGAGGGTGTACTCAGCGCTGTGGGATTCCGGTTCTCAGGGCGAATTCATTCACCCCCGTGTGGTGAAAGAAGCCCACTTACCTATGACCAGGTCTCCGTCTCCCATCTCTGTCACCCTAGGGGATGACAAGACCCAGCGCTTCTTTGATCAGACGGTCACCGATCTCCTTTTCTTCCTCACCCTCGAGCCGACTGATCGTTCCCCGGCGTCTCATCGCCACCGCTCCTCTACACATTTGGATGTGATGGAGAGGGGGTACGACTTCATTCTCGGCACTCCGTGGTCTCGTCGGTTCCGCAGCACCGAGGCCGATTGGGCGACCAACACTCTCGTTCTCAAAACGAAGTRTGGACAGACGTATCGCGTACCTTTCATAGGTACCAYKRCGATACCACGCCCCGATCCTCCTCCCCCGGAGCCTTCAGTGCCCACACCATCTCCCTCTATCACTGTCACCTCGCCTCGGCAGTTCGCTCACTTCATCCAACAGGACGACGTCAACTTCTTTATGGTGAACGTGACGGATCTCTTACACTATGATCCACCCTGTCCCGACGTCGAGATCATCTCTTTGGAGCCCGATCCTCCTTCTATCTCCATGGCTCTCATCTCTACTTCCGTCCCTCCGCCGTCCGTCGAGTCCACCCCGTCGTCGCGCGCTGACGCTGACGCTGAGGAACTCGCACGATATACGACCGACTTGGAGCCCGCAGTTCGTGATCTCATCCGAGAGTACCACGACGTTTTCCCATCGTCGTTCTCATATGCCGGCATCCCACCGATGCGTAACGTCGAGCACTCCATTCAGCTTGTGCCTGACTATCGTGTTCACCACCTGGCACCCTACAGACTCTCGATCCCCGAGGCCACCGAACTCAAGCATCTGCTTGAGGAGCTCTTGAGACTGGGTTTCATTAAACCCAGCAACTCCCCGTGGGGTGCACCCGTCCTCTTTGCTCGCAAAGCGGACGGAACTCTCCGTCTCTGCATCGACTATCGAGGTCTCAACCGCTACACGGTTAAGAACAGTTACCCCATGCCTCGTTCCGATGAGCTGTTCGACCGCCTAGCAGGCAACCGCTTCTTTACGAAGATTGATCTTCGTAGCGGTTATCATCAGCGTCACTGCAGCCGAGCAGCTGAAGACCGCGTTCCGATCGCGATTCGGCCACTACGAGTTCACGGTGATGCCATTCGGCCTCACTAATGCTCCAGCTACCTTTCAGAGAGCGATGAACGACATCAGGGACATCTTGGAGCGGTACGTTCTCGTCTACCTCGACGATATCCTAGTCTACAGTCGTACCCTTGAGGAGCACCTCAGACATCTCCGCGACGTCCTTGACCGCTTGCGCAGACATGGCTTCTACGCCAAGCTGAGCAAGTGCCGCTTTGCCCAGCACAAAGTGGATTTCTTAGGGCACTACGTGTCTGACCAGGGTCTCCACATGGACGACGTGAAGATCACTGCTATTGCGGAGTGCCCCACTCCCACATCAGCCAAGCAGCTTCGCAGCTTCCTAGGCCTGACCAGCTACTACAGTAACTTCATCCGGGGATACGCTAGGTATTCCTACGTCCTTACCTCCACCCTCCTCCGGAAGAACCCACCCTGGGCTTGGACACCGCTCCACGAGGACGCCTTCCGCGCCCTCAAGAAGGCGGTGACATGCGCACCGGTTCTTCACCTACCCGATTTTGACCGCCCTTTTATCCTTACCACCGATCCGCCAGACTTCGCTGTAGGAGCAGTGCTTTCTCAGGTCTTCCCCTC